CAAAGCCGACAATTACAAGTAGATCTATATGGAGGGAGATAATAAAACCAATCAGAGGCGTAGCTAGGGGGAAAATAGCAAAATATATAGAGAAAAAACTTGAGGGGGGGTGCAAATCGAAAGTTCGAGGGGGGTGCAAATCGAAAATTTAAGGGGGGGGGGGGTGCAAATCGAAAATTTGAGGGGGGGGGGTGCAAATCGAAAATGTGAAAGTTTGTCCCCGGGAAGGGTCGCTGCGCCTCTGGGGGGGGGGGGTGACACCATTAAGTGCCGCACCGGGTGACACCCGACCTCGCTACGCCACTGAAACCAATACTCTCAGCCAGGGAGCAGGACATAATCCCGCCGGTCAAATACCCCCTCCCTGACACCACCCTATCAATTACCCCCGCCCATTTATGGATATTATATTATAGGGTTAGGGTGGAGTTAGGACAAGGGCTAGGGCTTCGGTTAGGGTTAGATGTAGTAATATAGATGGGGTTATAATCGTGGCAAGGTTTTGGGGTTAGGGATAGAGTCAGGGTTCTTCAGCGTGAGGGGGGGGGGGGGGGTAATTGACAAGGGGGTAATAACTCTGGGTCTAATGTCGAGAGAAAAAGTCCGGGGTGTTCGTTGATCGGGGGGGGGGGGGGGGTAATGTCCTAGGTCCTCGCAGCCTATTGTAATAGAGTTCGCAAACAAACAAACAAAAATGTCCTATTATTCTAGTCACCCTGTGGAGACTCATATAACAACGTTACTGTTATACGTGTAGCTGTATATAAAAAAAACCACACGTCCTCACCGCCACTTGACCACATATTGTCTGGGATTTCCTCCTCCTCCTCCTCCCCCATCCACATCCACATACCACGCTGTTTACTTAAACCACGTGTTCTATTGAAGCCGCTCCTACTACAATAATCGTGACTCAGACGTTCTGTGGTGAAAATATAAGCCGTGGTTTACTTAGCATTGTTCGTCGTAGCGTTCTATTTATACCCCATACATGACCTCTGTTTTAAATAACGCATACATTTCAGTCTACTTAATTTAAGTGTAGCCGTCTGTAAATGACGTCACACATTTAGGAGAGAGAGAGAGTTCTATGTTAATTATTAATTAAACAACTCATTAAAGTTAAGTACGTACTTGAGCATAGAGAGACATCACCCAGGTTAGGACATTGATCTATCTCAGAGGCTTAGCGAGGGGGGGGGGGGGACATATGCCGACCTTAGGGGGGGCGCCAAATTGAAAGTTTGAGGGGGGGGGGGGGGTGCAAATGAAAAGTTCGAGGGGGGGGGGGGGTCGCAAATCGAAAGTTTGAAGTTTGAGGGGGGGGGTGCAAATGAAAAGTTCGAGGGGGGGTGCAAATCGAAAATTTGCTCCCGAGGGGGGCGCCGAATTGAAAGTATGTCCCCGGGCGCCGGGAAGGTCGCTACGCCTCTGATCTATCTCGAGTAGCTTGTACGGTATGTACAGAGTTTGTTTCATGCATCTCTTTGATGGTCACCCCAGGAGGAAATAAACTTATATAATTTTATTACAAAATATATACCTTAACCAGTGTCCGCCTCCCCCCTCCTCCCAGAAATTTAACCGCCCCCCCCCCTCGCTTGGAAAGTCTGAAGTGCCTCACGTGTGTCTCTTTCAGACTATTTTCTAGTGGGGGGGGGGGGGCACCTGAAACTTTTCGGGAGGTGGACCTAAATTTTTGGGTGGATGCAGTTGGAATTGCTTCGCCTCCCCCCACCCACCCGAAGAGATGTCTGGAAGAAACTCTGTTGTCTCCCCTTACCCCAGGCACCAGGGAAAGAAATATCTGTCGAAAAAACACCGAGTAGTCGTTGGGGGGGGGGGGAGTTACCGTACCGGTTGTCAACCGCGAGTCCCCACCCCCCACCCCCCCCACCCCCACACGTATGTACTCTTTTACTGGTCGATGTGGACGTCGTGGTCGGGCCGGAGTGCTCATGATTACTAACTCCAAAAGTCCCGAGTTCGAACCCCGTCCGGATGAGACCCAGTAACCTATCTCGGAGAGACAACTCCAAAATCAAACAATCATAAAGGTTATTTTATTTTTCTGTCTTAAAACGTTAAAAGAATAAGTGCTGTATAATTATTCTTTTTTTACATAACAATACAAATTCTTTCAGTTTACATTAGCGAACGCCGCCCCACCTCAAATTAAAGCAAGGGAGTAGGTGTCTGGTCATTGGCCATAAACTCTTTAGACTAAATTTATTTTCCTCCTGTAGACCTACAATCGATGTGGAAAATAGTTCAGTTGTCTATGTAGAATTAAGCATGTTATCTGCAGGGGCGGAACTACCATACCGCCAGACCCCGCAATTCGGGGGGGGGGGGGCCAGGACGTTTAGGGGCCCAGTTCCGACAAAAAAACAATGATTTTTTTTTTCAAAAATTATGTTTTTCATGCATCTTGAAAGTGGTTTTGTAAAAAAAAAAAAAAACTGGTCTACTATAGCAGAGATTGTTGCGTAGAAAAATATTTTAAAATCTACAAGAGCTATAGTTTGAAAGGTAGGTAAACATTCACACTACTTCCATGACTTACTGCCCTTCTTTAAAATAGGGATGCCCACGAAGCTCATTTAAATAGTTTTGTACTCTGTATATTAAAAAGTAATTGATTCTCTGAATTATTACTTAAATAAGACGTACTATACAATACTATAGCTATAAAAATTAATGTTTTCAAAATTGATATTATAAAGGCAAAAATGAAAAAAATAAACATAACGCGATAAACCATTCACGAATCAAGCTAACTTCTTTATATATTTTTGACCAGCTTGTTTATGATGTTTTCACTTCTGGATGAGTTTGGAATAAATTTTTTCTGGTTTGTTCTCTCAGAATAGTTATATATTGCAATGAAGTAGACTAAATTACTCAGTTAGGATATAGATTATATATATATATATATATATATATATATATATATATATATATATATATATAGGGCCCCCATATATATATATATATATATATATATATATATATATATATATATATATATATATATATATATATATATATATATATATATATAGGGGGGCCCTAGCTTTTTCTTTGCGGGGGAGCCTTTGATTTCTAGTTCCGCCACTGGTTATCTGTTTTAATAACTTGGAGTATACATATGTGTAAACCAGTCACTAAAACTAAAATAAGCTCTCCGTTCCTCCCCCCTTCTCCTCCCTTTTGACACTCTCTTAGATCAACATCCGGGCGCCACCCGCCCACCACGCTGTTCAGCAGAAGTGTATACTTTCGTATCTCTTGCTTTTTAAACTAATGTCTCATACTGTTTTATTGTAGTAGACCTATGATTCCTATGAAAATTATATTCATTAATTTTAGTCTCTTAATGTTTTTGTTACATCCTCCCCTAACTTTACAAGTTTTTTCTTTCAGTGTTTCTGGGTGGGGCCGGACTAAATTTTCACGGGGGGGGGGCGGACACTGGTAAAAGTATATATTTTCTATATAAATTTCAATTATATACGGTGGGGCGGTAGCCTTTCTTCGTGGAGGGGGGGAGACAGAGTGCCGCCCCCCCCCCCCCCACCCCCCTCCCGAAAAGATGCCTGGAAGAAATTCTGGTTAGACGTCATCCATAAACACCTCAGTCGTCCACACATTCTCAAAATAGCAATTTTTTTTTTAACCTAGATTTCTTTCTAAAACATTTACGAAGATTGTTTAACTGTGAGTAGATCTACAATGATCAATTTTTATTACAATTCACAAAATAAAAGGTGGAATAAAAGCGAAATAACGGCTAAAATTCAGTTTCTAACATTACTTATTTAAAAAGCAAAATGTGTCGTCACACTTTCTGAAACCCCTCCCCCCCCCCCCCCCCTACACACACACCACCCATTCATCCCTCGTTAGCATCATAACGCGTCTTCATAACAGATAGACCTTCCCTACTAAAACCAGTGTTTCTTCCAGACTTTTTTCTCGGGGGGGGTCGGGGTACTGGTAAAAGTATGTTTTCTATATAAATTCCCTTTTTTTTTATTTTGGAAGAAACTCGTGACTAAAACCACGTCACAAATTTCCACCCACCCACCTTAATTAATTAAGCTTATCTCTAAGATAGGAAAAGCTGTTTTATTTTTTCAAAAAATTTCTATTTCTAAGAAATGTGCCAACAAAATGTAGGCTACTTTACGGAGTGGACATTTATTATTATAAAAACTAATACTACCTCTCTAGTAGTAAACTATCATGAAAGTCACCCCCTCCCACCCCAGTTATTTAGTCATTTATGAACAGCCGGTCACATTTCTCCAGTATTTTACGGTCGCATACATTAATCATAACCAGAGGTGGACTGGCCCGCAGTTCTACTGGGTAAAATCCCGATGGGCCCCCAGGAAAAAATTCCGGTGGGCCCCCAGGAAAAAATTCCGGTGGGCCCCCAGGGAAAAATTCCGGTGGGCCCCCAGGAAAAAATTCCGGTGGGCCCCCAGGAAAAAATCCCGATGGATCCCTATCCCATGAATGGTGCTTTAATAATCCTATTCGAGTTGATATTTTAAAAATTATTTAACATTTCTTCACGCCACGGTGTAAAATTTAGGTTTTGATTGAGGGGAGAAATATGCACAACGAAAATTTTATTCTGGGGTGGGGGACCCCTTTTAAAATTCCCCGGGCTTCTTGAACAATGATCATAGCCTGATCATAACCAATGATGAATGTAGGAAATTAGGATTTAAAGATGCACTTTGGCTTGTAGACATAAATTCTAGTTATCTGTATAAAGCCTCCTTATGGTTAATTATTATATTATAGATCTAACTAGATTTAGCTAGATCTCGAGTAAAATTAGTTGCGTCAGAAAAACTTAATCCATGCAATGCATGACACATTTGCCACGTAATGTTCAGATGTGGGCTACTTACAAACGGATTTACCCAGCCGGCTATTTATAGACAGAAAAAGTAAAAGTAGGACTAAAATCTAGAAGAAAACATTGCTGTTGTGTTGTGTTTGGTGTGTTGCGTTTTCTTGTACTGTTTAGCCTACGGCATACTGGCCTACTGTTACTGTACAAGAAGAACTCGAGATCTGCTGTTTATCTTATATTTACATTCAAGAATCGTCTAGAATTGCGCAGTTGACAGAGAAGTTGTCACTTGTAGTTGACAGTTGTAGATTTGGATCTGGGCTTTATTTTTTGTCACATTTTTTAATGAAATCACGATGACGTTTGCCTGCCTTGAGCCTTGAAATTTAATGTAGCCTAAAAAAAACTAAATAAAAGCCTAAGCCCTAACTACTAGATCTAGGCCTAATTAATAATAATAAATAATAATAAGCTAAAAAAAATTCAAATGTAGTTAAGATATAAGTATAAGAGTACTTGAAGTATTTACCTAATGTATTCTTGCAATGACAGCCAAAAGAGAAACAAATTCAAGTCATTCTGTAGTTGTATTTGATGCCTCTGATGCATCATCAAGACCAAAAATACCTGGAAATAAGTTTAAGAATTATCGCTATGTTAAAAATACAGAAATCTTCTTACCTGTTGAACACATCTGTGCGTTCTGTGGGAAAAATTCTTTTAATCTCAAGTCATGTACTCGATGTTGGTGGGCGAAATATTGCGATAGTTTCTGTCAGAGGAATCACTGGCCACAGCATAGGGCTGATTGCAGGGAGGACCCATCTCAAAAACTTTTCTTTAAAGGTGAGGTTTTGTGTTTTGTTTTGTGTTTTAAAATTTTTGTCAAATAAGCTTCACATCTTGTTATGAAGTGGAACAAGAATTTAAGAAAATAGTTCCTCCTATTATATGGATTTTTCAACTAAGCTCTACTTTTTTGCCCTACTAGCCCATATATTTATTTAACTTATGGTTTACATTTGAATTGTGATTGTAAATTATCATCATTTCCTATCCATGCCCAAGACATGTGGAGCAGATAAAGTAGAGTTAATCTGTTTCAATTACCTCAGCATATGAGGGGAAAATGTGGTCAGGATTATTATGCCCAGCTGCCTTTGTTTCCCTAGCATGAGTCAGGTACCATCATAATTGTTTGGGGTCAAAGAGATCTTATATATGGGATATGAATTCAAGGTTTTTGTGTTAGCAATTGTAAGCTCTACAATTTGATCACACCGTCCCTATTTATAAGTTTTATTGAGACAAAAAGTATCAATGTCAAACAAAATCCTTTAATTTTACACTTAAATTTTTAGTTAGTAGAGCACGTTAAAACATTTACATTTTTTTTAAAACCTTAATTTAAATTTACAGGTGCATAACTTATAAATGATCACCAATAGTTTATTTTGCTTTTATGATTTCTTTGCCACAGGCGGAAGGATAGTTGAGTTTGACTTGTTTTCTGGCACTGATGTGCTGGAAGCAGGGCCATTTGGTAGAAGAATTTTCCTGGGTTTGGACAAGTGCCCTAAGAATGGCCACAACAACCATGCAGACTTCATTGGGGTAGAGGAGTTTACCACACAGCATCTGCCACAGAGTATTCAGTACGATGTTGTTACAGACTATTTAAAAGCTGAGTCACAAATGACAGTAAGTACAGATCTTCTCTAGTTTTATATCTGCTAAATCCTGTTGTTATTATTATATGAATTAAAGTTAATTATATATTCTTAATTAATTATATATTCATATATATTTTTTTAAATAAATGTTTAAGAAAATTAGTAATTAAAAACAAGTTTTTAAATTGAATTTTATATTTTGACCAATCTATGACATTATGCATTAATTTTTCAGGTGCGTGTTCTTGTTAATTGGACAAGTAAAAATAGACCAGATGGAGACGCATGTGCTAATTACAGAAACACAAAAAAGGCAAGAACAGCGTCTGGTACCTACATTCTGGATGATGCTAATGACTTTGTTTCAAAACAGTGCCTCATACCAAACTGCCACTACTCAAAAGAATTGGGTGAGGTTCACACCTACTTTGAAGGGGATCTGAAAATATTCACCAACAAGCATGTTCTGTTTGACGATGAAGAACTAAGAAACACCGTTGTGGATTTTTTCTACAACAGTGACGACAGGCAAGGAGTAGTCAGAGAGTACGGAGTCCAGTTATTTTACACCAAGCCAACAACGGATCGAACTTTCTTCAAACTCTCCGTCCACAAACGTGAATTTCTTGAGCATTTGCTGGACCTGGAGGTGAAAAGGTCATCAACTTTCCAGAAGATTCCACCAGCAATTTTACAAAAAATGTCTGCGTACGCTATTGTTATATCACACCCTCACGGTTTACCGAAAAAGATCAGCATTGGTCGAGTGATTCGGGTGACAGAAGAAAACCTGTCCGACGAAACTGTCGCTAATGCCAAGACAGTGGGGAGGCTTGAGAAAGAGTGGTTTGCTTCCAGGAGTAAAGAGGGCTACTGGAGGTATATGCAGGCCCTGGGTAGTTTGAACATGCCCATGTACAAAGTCTGGTACAACACGCCCACCTGCCAAGGTAGTTCTGGAGCACCGGTGCTGTTTGGGGCGCGTCACAACAACGGGGTCTGGGGGCCGTACACAGCGTATCACACGGCGTTTGAGTGTGATTCTAATTTAAATTATTTTAAGGTTGGACGCTTCATGGATTGATACATAACTGGCCATAAATAGAAGTATCGATGCGGTTTTTAAAATTACCTAAAAGTTCAATTTTATTTCAACACAAGAAAACAACTGATATTTTGACAGCACATATTTATATGTTAGAAGTCCATTATTTTGAAGTTGGCCAATCATGGATTGAAACATTACTGGCTATAATTTGAAGTCTCATTAAGGTTTTTGAAAAACCAAACAGCTGTACAATTTTATTAAACTTAAACTCAAGAGAAAAGCTGATATATTTTATGGCATATATTTATACTCAAGAAATCCCTTTTTTCTTGTGATGTTTGTGTATATTAATTACTTGTAAATTTTTTCAAAGAAAAGTCACAAAACTAGTCATGAAGTCAAATATTTACTAGCACAAGCTAACAATATTAGAAAATGCCAAAGTATTTTATAGGATGAAAAGATTTTTTAGGACACTATTACATGCTAGTGGTAATTGTATAGTCTGTGCCATAGAATTAGGTTAAACAAAATATTTAAAAAGCTTGTAATAATTTTTTTAAACATTAATTTTAGTTTTCCATTTGTAATCATGACTTTTTTAGTCAGTAAATCATGATCTCTACAAAACAGTCTGTTATTATTGTGATAACAGGTAATATTTCAACAATTTAACCCTTGATTTGTCTTTAAAGAATTTTTTAAAATTATTATTGATGAAACTTTACATGTTTATAGCTATATTTATTATCTAACCAATTTAAACAAAATGATATCAATAATATCAGGGGAGTGGGGAGGTTGAACGTATCCCAAAATTCTAGAGCTCCAACGAAAACTAGCAAACTGAATAAAACCAAAGAGTTTCACTACATAACCAATTTGAATTACTAATTACTATACACATTTAGAATTTATACGTCATTTTTTGTGACCTCTATTATATTTGCAGACTTGTTGTGCCATATTATATAGTTATAGAGCTTTGTTGCTACTGTACAGCATGTTAGAGTAGCAATAAATTATTAAGCTTCTAGTTCTTGTGGGCTTATTTTGCTGATCTTCATCAAACTTTATTTGCAGCTTCATTTTAGCTTATTACTAAAACTATGTTGTACTTTTTTATTTATTGAAATATCAATTACCAGGAAATGAATTATCTGTATACATGTGTCACTTTTAAATATTTTAATTGCTCTAAATTTAGAGCAGCAACACGTTGCACAACTCATCCAATTAAATCCATTAAGTTATTAGTACCCATGCTTTGGAGAGTAATCCATTGCATGGATTTTATTTTTCAACATTATATCTTCAATATAACTTTTTTTGTAACTCCACACTTGGGTGACTCTATTCTCACTGTAATTTTTATCTTAATGCTCTCCCCTTGTTTGTGAAGTTAATAGATTGACTGGTAAAGAATGAACCAACACTCAAATCCTGACAAAGATAAACGGACATTAGTTGTATAACATGTAGCAACTGACACTAAAACCATGGCCTGTAGTATCAAATGAATGACATTGAGCTTACAAGTGCAATAACTCTGTCCCATAACGCATGTCTCTTCATCTTTTATGTGATATATTTTAAATATATACTATGTGTGTTGGACTACAATGAAGTTTGAAAAGTATACTTTGTAATTATATATTTATTTTACTGTGTCTATTGTGCAGAGGCGTAGCGACCCTTCCCGGCGCCCGGGGACAAATTTTCGATTTGCACCCCTCCCCCCCCCCTCAAACTTTCGATTTGCACCCCTCCCCCTCCCTCAAACTTTCGATTTGCACCCCCGCTCAAACCTTTTTGTTTTTCAAATTTGTTTTTCCAACCCATTTTCGCGCCCCCCTAAGGTCGGCGCCCGGGGACATGTGCCCCCTCCCCCCCTCGCTACGCCTCTGCTATTGTGATAATAACAGAAGTGTTCTGTAATAGTAATGTGTACTTAGCTAGACTTTTCAATTGAAACTTCCTCATTTTTTCTCCGTAGTCCATATGTGTGTTAATTTTATTAAAATTTTAACATTGGAACCATGTTTTCTGTTGGAAGTTATGTCCCCTGGATCGGTCGTTACTAAACTATTTTAAATTTTGTATTGTATAAGTCCGGGGGAAAATTTCGATTTAAATTTAAAAAATAATGTCACATGCCACCAGCATTGCTCCCCTTTCCCCACCCCGGGGGTCATCATAATTTTTTTTTTGACGATTTTTACATTACCCTCTATCACAAATCGTCACAAAAAGCCAGACCCCTCCCCTCCCTAAAATGAAGACAAACCTCAGCATACGACCCCCATAAAATTCCAGTTTAAATTTTTTTAAGCGTCGATTTTTTATTAACATATTATATACTGAGCTCCCTTAACATTGATTGCTGTACTGTATATTTATCAATTTTTATCACAATCTACAAAAAAGTTTTCAAAAACGCGAAATGGCTAAAATTCAGTTTTTAATAAAGCCAAAGTGTAACGTCACACTATCCAAACCCTCACCTTCATAACACATCGTCACAAAATTACGGACCCCCACCCTCCACCCCTTACGAGTAATACGTCATCTATGGACGACCAACTAAAAACATCTGCGTACTGTTTCGTGCAAATCAGATATCACCGGAGATGCAGACATTGGATACTGTGGGTGGTAGATGTTACTTTGGTGGAGGATGACGGAGTGAAGGGGGGGGGGGGGGTGACGGATAAGATCAGTAAACTTGTGTTGTGGTTGATCATGAACATGTCACCCATTTTAGCCGATTCTTACATTCCCCCCCCCCCCCAAAAAAAAAAACCGGTTCTGATATTAAGAATTTGAAGACATTCCCCACCCCAAAATAGCGCGACTACCCCATTCCCCCTGGAGTGTGACGCCATTTATGAGTGACCTTTTACTAAAATGTTTTAGCAACTTTGTTATCTTATTTGTTAGCGTATATACAGCTATTGCGCTTTATGTAAAGGAGCTATTGATTAATAGAAACCGGACAAAAGTGTTCCTAAGTCCGAACAACAAACATCTGGCCGGGACAATCGTGTTCCTAAGTCCGAACAACAAACATCTGGCCGGGACAATCGTGTTCCTAAGTCCGAACAACAAACATCTGGCCGGGACAATCGTGTTCCTAAGTCCGAACAACAAACATCTGGCCGGGACAATCGTGTTCCTAAGTCCGAACAACAAACATCTGGCCGGGACAATCGTGTTCCTAAGTCCGAACAACAAACATCTGGCCAGGACAATCGTGTTCCTAAGTCCGAACAACAAACATCTGGCCGGGACAATCGTGTTCCTAAGTCCGAACAACAAACATCTGGCCAGGACAATCGTGTTCCTAAGTCCGAACAACAAACATCTGGCCAGGACAATCGTGTTCCTAAGTCCGAACAACAAACATCCGGACAGGGTCCTCAGTTTAAAAAAGAACCGATATGTGTAAGACGTTGGTTACCAACTGAGATTTTTATCGCGCATTAAAAAAAAACCATAAAATTGCCAAGTTCAAGTTTTCTGAGAAAACTTTAAAAATAGACAAATTTAACAGTGGGTATTTCCGTTCACCTCATCATTGCAATCATAACTCAGTGTTACGTGTTACTTAAAAATATTTATTCACGTCATATTTTTAAAAATTAGTTTCATGATAAAGTGTTACCTGTAAGCTTAAATTAACTTACAGTATATGTGCCACAATATGGATTTTATTAGGTTAGGCTTTGACTAATAATGAACTCGTGAGTTGTACACGTTATGTGACATATTATCCTACTAGACTAGACATAATCCTTAACTTAATGTAGGCTTATAATTACCTATAAACATCATCTAACTAATTCGGTGGTTCTTAACTCAATGATCTATTTTTTTTTTCTATTAAGAAGGGTTCGGTGAATGCGTACTATATCAAGCTGATGGGACTCGGTACCCCCAAAAATGTTAAGAACCACTGATCTAATGTGAAAACGTCAATACAGATAGGAACCTGTAGTAGGCTACAAGCTTAATACCCACCCCACCCTCTGCACAAGTCTGGTCAATACCCACCCCACCCCCAGCACAATACCCACCCCACCCCCTGCACAAGTCCGGTCAATACCCACCCCCTCCACAAGTCTGGACAATACCCACCCCACCCCCTGCACAATACACACCCCCACCCCCTGCACAAGTCTGGTCAATACCCACCCCACCCCCTGCACAAGTCCGGTCAATACCCACCCCCTCCACAAGTCTGGACAATACCCACCCCACCCCCTGCACAATACACACCCCACCCCCTGCACAAGTCCGGTCAATACACACCCCACCCCCTGCACAAGTCTGGTCAATACCCACCCCACCCCCAGCACAATACCCACCCCCTGCACAAGTCTGGTCAATACCCACCCCACCCCCAGCACAATACCCACCCCACCCCCTGCACAAGTCTGGTCAATACCCACCCCACCCCCAGCACAATACACACCCCACCCCCTGCACAAGTCTGGTCAATACACACCCCACCCCCTGCACAATACACACCCCACCCCCTGCACAAGTCTGGTCAATACCCACCCCACCCCCTGCACAAGTCCGGTCAATACACACCCCACCCCCTGCACAAGTCCGGTCAATACCCACCCCACCCCCAGCACAATACACACCCCACCCCCTGCACAAGTCCGGTCAATACCCACCCCACCCCCTGCACAAGTCCGGTCAATACCCACCCCACCCCCTGCACAAGTCCGGTCAATACCCACCCCACCCCCTGCACAAGTCCGGTCAATACCCACCCCACCCTCTGCACAAGTCTGGTCAATACCCACCCCACCCTCTGAAAATGTGACGACACACTTTTACATATTTTAGAAAGCCATGTTAGAAACTGAATTTTAGGCGGTCTTTTTTTAACGATTTTAAAAGACTGTTTTTATCAATTTCTATACAAAATATTATAATCAATGTTGACCATACACTGTAAATATTTTAGAAAGAAATCAATGTTTAAAAAACAAAAACTGTCATTTTTAGGGGGAGGGGGTATGGGCTCAGGTTTGACGTCGTGGAGGGAGGGGGGGGGGGGTAAATCGTCAAAAAATTGTGACGTTATTATTCTAGATCTATTTATAATATGATGCCAATAATTCTGTTAAAATAAACCCAAATGGGAGTCGACCGATGTTGATTTCTGAAACAGGATGTGATGCCATGTAAAAAAAGGAAACCTACTATGGTTTAATTTATACACCATTAAAATACAGGTACCATTACAGAAGTCAAGGTCAGGTTATCGGGCACAACTGTTGTCTCCAAGATAATCAATCTAACCTGACGTCTCCTAATCCCCCTTAATTAATAACAACTGCACACAGTTAAAGACGACAACACGAAGATTACTGTTTTTATTGGCCTCCATTTTTCTCGGTATGGTACCACAGTTGTTGTTCGGCATGCGGTGATGGCAGACAATTTAATCAATATAATTAAGAATTATCGATTCGAATCATGTTTAGGGCTGTTTAGCTAAAATTTCGGGAGACAGGGAATGTTGATATGTAAGGATTTAGGTATTCGGCTTGAGTTAGCTATTGGTATACATGACCGTGGTTCAGTGTTTCTTTCAGACTTTTTTCTCTGGGGGGAAGGAAAATGTGTGGGGGGGGGGGGTGGACTACACTTTCCGAAAGGCGGACACTGGTAAAATTATGTTTTTTATATAAATTCTATTTCGTTCATATATTTTGCACCTGGTGGGGGGAAAAAGGTGGTAGAGATATATTTTCTTTTTTAAAATTTAATGTCTTTCTTTCGTCCGAGGGGGGGGGGGGGGGGGGGGGGGGGGGCAGACGTGTGTGAAGGGGGACAATCCCTGAAAGTAAGAGTAAAAAATCCAGTTTTTGACGATAGTGCCGAGCTGTAGGCCTGATCTAAAACTAACAGCTATTTTTTTTTTAATCAAGCTTTATCAATTACGCTGTTGGATGTTATTTTAACCCCATGCCGGTCCGCGTCTACACGACTGCTACACACAGTCAGCGACACGATAGCACAAACAGCTCAGCCTACAATATCCTGTTGACGAACCGCGCAAACAGCTGTTTGGGTTATTTCCGTCTACGCCAGCCCAGCCCCCTCTCTACATTATAAAACACAATTTTTATTTTAGCAACAGTAAACTGCGCTTTTCCCGACATTTTTTACTTTTAACTATAGTTTAAGCGTACCATTTCCTTGGGATTTGTTGCTGATTAGACGTGGGGTGTTAAAATATTGCGGACTTGGGACTTGGAAAGGGAAGTTGATCCATGGGGATGTTGGTATAATACATCTATGGTTGGAAGAAAATGCATTTCCAATCTGTGTCTTCAGTTTTTTTAGCTGCTGTCTTAAATTGAGTAGTCTCATAACTAGTGCCGCGCTCAAAGTAAGTTGATAATGTAACTGTTTTCTTCTTTTTTAAATATTTACGGAGGACGGGGGGGGGCGTTTTTAAATTGGTCTATATAAAAATTATTTTATTACATTTATTTTTCTTTAGGATTATTGTTATTTTTTCAACTGCGTTTACACGCGAAGGAAGAAAATCTCGCTGCAAGTTAGTGTCATTTGAAAACATTTTCCCGCGGAATTTGTTAACTAACTTGCTGAAAGTTTTTTTATTTTTCTAGACATGACAGTATACACGTCGCAAGTGTAAAAGCGGTATTAGGAGGTATGGTGTTTTTTTTTTATCGTGATCTTGTTGATTGGGCGCGCGTTTAGTGATAGCTCGTGATGATAAGTGTGGGTGGGAGTGGGGGGGGGGGGGGGTAAAGACTATACTAAAGGGACGACCGCTCAAGTATAGTGCACGCATTATATAACAAATTTGATATTTTGCCTATCCTGTTGCACAATATAGGTCATATATATATATATATATATATACATATATATATATATATATATATATATATATATATATATATATATATATATATATATATATATATATATATATATATATATATATATATATATATATATGCCTATATATATCGTTTAATAGGACTAAACCCCCTCCTCCCTACCGGAGAGATGCCGGAAAGAAGCACCCACCCCACCCACCCACTGCTGTGCTATCACATAATCTGCTCATTATGCTATATATTACAAGTTGTCCAATAAACAGTATCGTCACAAGGCAAGGGTTGGGGGGGGGGGGGCATCCGCACCGGGTGACACAATACAGTGGGGTTACACGAAAACAAAAACTAACTATTATAATTTTTTAAATCTGTTGTTTTGTGTTGTTGTTGTTGTTTTTCAGTTAATGTCTTATTAGGCACAGGGTGAAAACATAAAGAATGGGGATGACACGAAATTCCTTAAAGTTATAGCCATTAGCGGAGGGGACGACATTCTGTGCTGTATTACTGCACCGGGTACCGCCTGACATAGTGACGCCACTGCCTATAAATAAAAGTTACATGAAATTCATTGAAATCTAAAAACCGGGAAATTTTTTTATTAGTTGTAGATATAGGACTGCATCATATTTTAATAGTTGCATCAGCTATAGGCATAGCCTAAAAATCTCTGACCTACTTTAACAATGCTACTTTATATTAATATGGACATTAACTAACAAACATATAGGCCTAACCAAAATATTCTCTATGCCAAATAAATACATGATGTAGGGGTTCATCCATAAATGACGTCACTTTTTTTTTTTGACGATTTTTGACGTCACACATAGTCACAAAAAGCCAGACCCCCCCCCCCTAAAATGACGTCATAATTCAGCCTACAACCCCTCTCAAAATTGCAGTTGAATTCTTCTTAAAACATCGATATTTTTTCCAAAAATCTTGTCTAAACTCTGTCAACATAGAGTATTTTAATCAATTCGTATTACATTTTATTAAAATAGTTTTTTAAAAACGCAAAATAAGGGCTAAAACTAGTTTTCAAGAATTGCTTTTTTTATAATACAACAGTGTTTCTTCGGGGGGGGGGGGGGTACTTGAAATTTTCGGGGGGGGGGGGGCGGTAGACTTTCTTTGGGGGCGGACACTGTTAAAAGTATATATTTTCTATATAATTATATAAATTTCATTTCGTTCGGGGGGGGGGGGGGGAATTTTTCGGGTGGGCTCCCGAAGAGATACCTGAAAGAAACTCTGAATACAAAAGTGTGACGTCACACCATCTGAACCCCCCCCCCCCCCCCCCCATCAATTACGCACCCCTCCCCCCTACGAGTGTGAGGGTCATTTATGGACGACCCCTAGTCACAGAAGCCCAGAATAATGATTACATTTGATGTGGTCTGGTTCCTGTTAAATTTAAATGCAGAAAACTGGACTTTTTTCTTCTTCTGAAGTTTTGAATAACACTGACTTAGGCTACACATCACATTATGTTCTCTCCTCGCAGGAAAAAAAACAACACGGCAGACGAAAATCTATTTATAGCTAGTAAACTACACTGGAAAATTCCTTTACCAAAACGCCTCAAGAAAAATTTCACCGATTTAACAAAAAGTTGAAATCCATCATCTTTATTCTTTAACTGACTCGACTGTTAATAATAGGATCACGGGAAATTAGACTAGATCTAGATCATGTATATTTGATATATCTAGAACTAGATGTAGATCTAGATCTAGTTAAATAATAAATATTAACAGTGTATACACTGTCTAACCAACGGAGGCTAGGTGGTAAACATCAGGTAATTTAGTAATATTACCGTAATTTTTTTTTTTAAATATGGGCCCAATATGGCCTACTTTAGCACTAAACTACATAGTTAAATTATTATTAAAATAATATTACATTATTACTAGAATTAGACCTATAAAATCAAAATGTGTATTAAAACTTATTTTAAATTGAGTGCTTCTTGCTTAATTGATTACACTTCCACCTGTTATACAATTACTTATGTATAATTATTTAATAGTGTATAGGCCTAGTTTAAAGTTTAAAGCTTTAATTTTAATAAGCAAGGCCTGTGGCGCAGGAAGGTTTTTGTTGTATGAGGGTTGTGGTGAAAAAAATATTCCTAATATCTATAAGTTAGTATAAATCATAGATCTACATTAAATTATACATATGCAGTATACAGTATACAGGGATGTATGTATAGATATACATGTTTAAGTATAGCCTATATATTTATATGGAACAATTTAGTTAAACCTACCCCTCTTCCCTCATAAAAAATACTGCCATATATATATATATATATATATATATATATATATATATATATATATATATATATATATATATATATATATATATATATATATATATATATATATATATATATATATATATATATATATATATATATATATATATATATAGGGCCTATAGGCTAACAATAATAGTTGGCCAAAATATGCCTGATCAAGTGATTCTACATTTATTAAATTATTTAAGTACTCTATAGGTATGAATGTATTATTTTACTTACTGTCAAGTAATTGTAAACACTATATTGATTAATAAGTTTAGCAATCTAATTTGATTTTCATTCTTGAGAAATATTTTTTCAATATTTTTCTTAAAAATGTGATTAGGTGTATTGATACAAAAATATGTTTTATTTTTATTTAAAAACAGATCTAACCAGGGGGCTCTGTGAATGTTAGACTGAAATCAAATTAAAAAACCCACCAACACTCAAGATCTCCACACAATGTGAACTGGACCATAAAATCATGGCATCAATCCAACACAACAACAACAATGTCCTCTTTGATATTACAAGCAGCTGTAGGAACACCCTGCACAAAAAGCCAGATATCAAAGGCAAAGTGGAGAAATTTTTACCCGTTGAACATGACTGCTCTTTTTGTGGCAAGAGTTCCTATAACACCAAGTCCTGCACCAGATGCTGGCTTGCTAAATACTGTGATAAAATGTGCCAGCTAAACCATTGGAAGGAGCACAAAAAGGAGTGTAAGGAGGATAAATCCAGGGGGAATTTTTATAAAGGTAAAAATAATACGGCTGGATCTGGTCAGAGTTTTTTTCAGTATCAGGTATCTCATTGAGGGGCGGGGTTTGCCCCTCTCCCCTGAACAAATAGAAAAAAACAAGGATGATATTTAGAATCGACCCTTTGAATCCCTGACAGATCGTCCCCCCCCCCTCCCCTGACCCCCTCCAGAGAAGATTGTCTGAAGAAAAGCTGAACGTATATCCCCCAAATAAAATAAAATTAACAAAAATAGAAAATATATGCTTAAATTGGTGTCCACTTTCTCCTGGAAAATTTAGTTAGGTCCCCCACTCTCTGAGAAAAATATCTGAAAGAAATACATGATCTGGTTCATACTAAATATTTTAAATAAATATGGGGTTGTCTTGATAACATACCAATGAAATGTGTAATAGGTACTTTAGATATATATGGCTTATATCCACCTAATAGGATGAAAGAATTTTATTTAAAAAAGCAAAGTTTTTTTTTTTTTTTAAATAAATTAGTGTCTGTTTATATTATTTCAAATTAATTTGATTACATCTGATAATTAAAGCTGTCAATATCATTTTATCCAGGTGGACGGATATCAGAGATGGATTTAGTACCTGATTATCCAGAAGCCTCCATCAATGAAGATGCAATATTTTTGGATTTGGACAAATGTCCAAAAAATGGATACAATGATCATGCAGACTTTATACCAGTGAGAGAATTTTCTGTTGAGAAACTTCCAATAGAAATAAGACACCCTCGTGTAGCAAAATATATTTTAGCTGAGTCAAAAACAGCAGTAAGTTCTAAGTTTTTTTTATTTTATACTCCGAAGATATTAGTGATATTAAAATGACTGAGGTTAACAAAATTCAACAATAAACTTTCATTGCCCAGAAACTGTCTCACATACTGTGAAAGCAGCTACAAATTTTGTCCTTACCCACTATGACTGCTGTGTTCTTTTAACCTTTTATGCAAAAGAACCCTATTGTCCTATTGTATTATAGACTCCACGAATCCCTATAGCTAGCCTGAGTTAGTGTAATGATGTGTACATGATTAGTAAGGTATTCATGAATGCTTGGCTGTTAACCTGAATCAGTCACTAGTTAGTGCTTATATTTAACAATCGTGAAGTAAATAGAAGTGTAAATCCTTTTCAAGATAGTAGTTAACCTTTCAGAACTGATGGTCAATAAAGCAGATGAAGTAGAGTTTATCTGTTTCTGTGACCATGTTACATACACTTCAGTGCCCCTAACTTGAGGCAGGTACCATGGCAAACTTGAAAGGGGGGGGGGATTCACTCACATCTTACATACTCAAGCCAGAAATTAATTCTTTACCTTTAGATAGGTAGTTATGTGCTCAGATTCAGTGGTTCTTAACCTATTTGGAAATACTGAACCCCGACCAGTTTTATATTCGCAGTCAGTGAACTGTTCTTAATAATTCAATCATTCACATTGACAAAATCTGACTGTGAATCATGAGTCAGGTGTGTGTCTTGACCTCCGCCGAACATCTGAGTCCCCTGGGGTTCAGTCAAAACCAGGTTAAGAAACACTCCTCTAATTGCTTATAAAACGTTTGATAATTTTTTTTTAAAACCCCATCCATTTCAGGTGCGTGTTCTAGTAAAATGGACAAGTAAAAACCGACCAAACGAAGACGCTTGTGCCAGACTTCGGGGCACAAGAAGTACAAGAACCGCCTCTGGCAAATACGTCTTTGATAACCCCCGAGACATTCAAGCAGTCGACTGTCCTATACCACACTGTCATCGCAAGGCTGACCTGGGAGAGCACCACAAGATCTACCAGGGGGACGTCAAAGTCTTCACCAACAAACACGTCATCTACGATGAAGACGAGCTCAACAAAACAGTTGTCGATTTTTTCTACGACAGCTCGGACAGAGTCGGGGTGATAAGGGAATATGCAACAAAACTTTTTTACACGAAACCATCCTCGGATAAAACATTTCTCAAAGTGACGCTCCACGACGAAAGTCTCGTCCATATTTTGCAGCAAATAGACACTGACAAGTGCCGTTGTTTTCACCAGCTGCCGAAAGAAATTCTCCCTAGAATGTCAGCCTTTGCTATTGTCATCTCCCACCCGCATGGTCTCCCTAAAAAAGTCAGCATCGGAAGAGTGATCAGGGTCACGGAGGAGAATATGTCCGAGGTGACTCTAGCCAATGCTAAAGTGGCAGGGGACCTGGAGAGGAAATGGTTTGGGTCTCGCACGGAGGAAGATTACATCAACTACATGGCTGCCCTGGGGAAGCTTGACCTACCTGTGTACAAAATTTGGTATGACACACCCACCTGTCAAGGTAGCTCAGGTGCCTCAGTTTTATTTGGGGCCCGGCAGTGCAGTGGTACATGGGGCCCATACATGGCTTTTCACTCAGCCTATGACATAGATTCTAAATTAAATTATTTTAAGATAGTTAGATTTATCTAGTGTTATTTAGTTAAGTCTTTTTTTTTAAGCATTAAATTTCTGCACACATGTTGTTGATTAAGGTTTAGAGCTCCATTTCTATCCTAAGATTATATCACAGACTATTTTTTTGTTATTTTTAAATTATTTTTTTTAAACTACATGGATTTTTTCATTGAGCTTCTACTTAATTTAATAGGTGTTTTAGTTGGTTTTATTGTTATGTTTTTCTACTTAAATACTAAGTTTTAAACTGAAAATATTCTTGTTGAAAAAGATCTGAAAATTATCCTTCTATAATATTTGACATATGTTTATTTTAATTTCATTTTTTTTAAAAATGTAATTACTTAAAATGATTATTTTTTAACTCCAAGTTTAGTTCTCATTTCATTTTGCACCAAAAGTTGAGTTTTAATTCTTTGATTGTATAACACATGAATATAAAGCAGAACTGATCTATTGAAATCAATTCACCAGCCAAATTCTGTTTCTTGCCACCTAGTCTTATTATTATTTATACCAAGGAGATATTGTAATATCTTGTGTATGGTTTAAAAAAACAATTTAAATATGGTATTCTTTTACAAGTCATGATATTATTTTATGATATTGCTATATTTTTACAAACCTATTATATTTTTTATAATTACATTAATTATGCGTGATACTGCTCATTAGTTGTTACTGATTACATTATCATACAGTTAAAGCTGTTCAATATACATACTGTAATAAAACAATTGATTTCATGAGCTAAATAGTTTAATAGTCTACAATGTGAATATTTTTTAAAAGGGAGATAACTTCCTTTTCAGTTATGGTTTTTTTTTACTTCTCTCGCTATATTAAACTTCCTTGGTCATTAAAGAAAATATTAAAATATTAAGCTTTAAATGCACTTTTGTAATACAGCGTTGTAAATGTAAGTACCTACAATCTTTTATTTAAAAATAATAAACTGTACTATTAAATTTACCAATAGAACATTTAAATTTTAACTTAAAAAATATATGTGTGAAAACATTTATTAGTAAATTAGTTTGTTTAAGTGCTTTTGTTTCATTTTGCAAAATTTGAAGAGTTGCGTAAAAAGTTTAGTATTGTATGTAAGTAAGTTGATGTTGATACACCTAGCTTAACTGGAATATTAACAGTCCATCAATTTCGGATCTAATGGTATGAGTGTTGGTACTTTGACTTTATCGTGTAACTATTGTTTTATAAAGATAGAGATTTATATTTTTTTAATTCAACATTTAAACGTTTTTTTTTGCCCATTTCCACGGGATGCTTAATTTGAAAATGAAGTTATGATAACGACATTTCAGTTTTAAATATTAAATTGATCTGTTCCTTTTAAAGGAACATTTAGTATGTCTTTATTCTTACTTATACAGTGAAATCATAAACAATTGACATTTTATTTTATTTGCATAATCATCGTTTAATATATACTACAATGAAAAAAAATCTTGTATTGTGTATAAATTGTGGTGTGTATACATTTTACAATATATTTAACAAATGTGTAAGTCAGCATTATCTTAACAAGTTTTATTTTGTTCCTCAATTGTGTTCATTCATACTTTTCAAATGTATTGAGTGATAAAATTATTTTATTTAACCAATGATTGTTTAGCATTTTATTTTACTTCATTTCCCTGTTGGCTGTTTCATAAGGTAGAAACAGAGCAGAAACACCTCCTATGAAACCCATGAAGGCAAAAATTGAGATAGACAAGTAGGCAGATGTCTTAATCAAAACCTAAAAAAAATCAAGAATTTTCATTCAATATTTTAAAGAAAAATGAGAATAAGAACATCAAATTTCATCTTTAAAAAAATGTACAGTCTTTAACATACTGTGTGATAAATTATTTCAAATGTCAAGGTCAGAGACAGATGCACTCTACTTTATCTGTCTCATGGATTATTAGGTCTGTAAGGGAAGTTTAAAATCAGACCTGAGCTATGAAAGGTGTAGCCAGTATCCCAGCTCTTGATACACTACTGCTCCAGCCCAGCCCTACAGCTCTCACAGCTGTGGGGAAAACCTGCAAACAATCAATATTGAAATGGGGAAATCTACAAGACATCAGCATGGGAGTGGGGAAATCCACAAGACATCAACATTGGAATGGGGAAATCCACAAGACATCAATATTGAAATGGGGAAATCCACAAGACATCAGCATGGGAGTGGGGAAATCCACAAGACATCAACATTGGAATGGGGAAATCCACAAGACATCAGCATTGGAATGGGGAAATCCACAAGACATCAACATTGGAATGGGGAAATCCACAAAACATCAACATTGGAATGGGGAAATCCACAAGACATCAACATTTAAATGGGGGAAATCCACAAGACATCAGCATTGGAATGGGGAAATTCATAAAACATCAACATGGGAATGGGGAAATCCATAAAACATCAACATGGGAATGGGGAAATCCACAAGAATTTCACCACACCTGTTTTCAAAACTAAAATATTTACTGTTTTGAATTTTGGTAGTTGTTGTGGAATTTTTACTATTAATAAATGTGATTATTCATTAAGATTTTAACAAACATTCAAATTTCTTAATACCACTATACACATGAATAAGTTTTCAAAATAATTTAATAGCATTAAACGAATTTAAAATTACGTAACTATATTCAGATAAATTAACTATCCCTTATATAAATTACTTAGCAATCAGAATAATTAGCTATATCTGATTATCTCATCCTGATTAGTTTGTTAAAGCCTTACTTCAGCGGTGTAAACATAATTGCCCTGGGCAGCTCCGTTCCCCAAAGCTCTTGTTACAAACATCAAGGCCACTAAAACACTCCTACAAATTTAAAAAACTTTAATTTAAAATTTTATCTTTGAAAAAGTATACTTTTAAGTGTTAAATAAGAGAAAAAATGTAATTGTTACCTTGGTGCACATATGTTGCACATCAGCAACACAACTGTGTAGCAGAAATAAAGGGAGACAAGCACTTTTTTTCTCCCCAGTTTAGACAGTAGAAACATTGTGACAAGTAAACCTGTACATTGAGAGAGGGTACATGGATAACAAATAAACCTAAATATAAACATTTATACTTGGTTGTTTACAACATTAATATTTTTTTTTAAAAAGAACAAATAGATTCAGAGCAGGATAAATAAATTTTAATCCTAAGCAGAAAGTTATGAAATTGTAGTGTATGAGACAGATATCTGGAATCAATTTTTAGGTTGGGATAAGTGAATTCTTTTGGTTAATGAGGATAAGTGAATGCCTGTCTTTGATGAGGATGAGCGAATGCTTTTAGCTCATCCAGTAGATTATATTTTCAGCAGATAAACATTGAGGAACAAGTACCTGGAGCTTCACTTAATGTTGTGACAAGAAAATCTACGTAGTCCGATGTAGACAAAGCCTGACAGTGGACGTCACATTTTTCTTCTTGAGAGGACTGACTGTCATAGCCTGAAAAAACTTGAGACATAAACACTGACAGACATACTAAGTGATGGAATTCTTTAAAGAAAGAAAGCAAGAAATATGAATATTTTTATTAACCCTGAATAAAGAAATAAAAAGCAGGAACAATTTTAAAAATAAAGAGGGAAAAAATACTGAAACTAAAAGAGAATTAGTTTTTTTAAAGAAGGAAGGAAGAAAGGAAGAAACTAATTAGAATTACCGAAAAAGTTAACATAAAGTAAAGAACCAGGAAATAGGTATGGATAATTTTAAAAAAACATGATAAGGAAATAAGAATGTTTTTCTATTCTAAAAATTCCTCACCATGACAACCATCTGCTTGCTCAAACAGACTGGTAGTAAGAATAGCTGTACCATAGTAGCCCATGTTTCCACTCAGCCTGATTTAGGAAAAATTATTTTTTTACTGCTACACTTTAAGTGATATATAGTTCATTGCAACATAGTTCATAGGAGAAAATATAAATGTTTTAATTTTTTTTTCTGCTGTTTGTTTTTAATTGATTATTTGCTGGTAGGTAAATTAATAAATTAAAAAGAAATATTTTTCAATACTTTCAAAATTTCTTAATATAGATAGAAGGAAATAAATTTTATACCACATCAAAGAAACTAAGATAGTAGTTCTTCTGTATTCAGACTGAAATAAGTCTTTCCAACTGCTAGTTGTGTGGTTCTGTAATTATAAAACTATACTTCAATATTTGAATGAAAAGAAATACATTATACTATAATAAGCAGGAGCTGATTCCATGGCCACTATACATAACTTACCAGAGGCCCAATGTTTTACCTGCTTTTCTGGCTCTTGTAATGTCCCTTCTGGCAAGCTTGTTTTGTTCGATTTGGCCATATCTTCTAAAACGGTTGTGGCTTCTTTCATTTGACCATGGATTAAAAGGTATCTGGGACTTTCAGGCAACATCTGAGACAATCATGTTAAGGGAGTTAAGTCTGTAATAATTTAACTTTTAAAAACTCTAATACAGATCATATAAAATTGAATTGTTCGTTTGAGTAAACTATAGACAAGCTACTGATTTATAACAACTTGATGTCTTTTGGCTATTTATATAATATTTTCAATTGTTTGTTTTTAATATTTTATAGTGTTCACTAAGGGAGGTAACTGATTATGATTAATTAACTTTTATTGCCAATGGTCAAACTATCATTGCTGTCACAATTATTTTACTTTACCTTAAACAACATTGAAAACAGACACACAGGAATTGAAGTAATTCCCAGCAGCCACCTCCATCCAAGGGTTGGTATGACAACAAGGGCAAGAACTGCTTCAAGGCAAGACCCAAGTGCCCACATGAACTACAAGTCAAAAACTGTTTGTTAAAAATACATTGTTTTTTCAACCAAGTTTAAATATTTTCAGTCTGTAGCTATAACATTACAACCACCAGATTAAACTTACAGCTACACCCTTCAAATTAAAATGAAAGAAAATCACTATACTAGACTTACAGCTACACCATTCAGATTAGACTTAAAGACAAAAAATCTAAAGCAACTATACTAGACTTACAGCTACACCCTTCAGATTAGACTTAAAGACAAAAATATAAAGCCACTTTACTAGACTTACAGCTACACCATTCAGATTAGACTTAAAGAAAATCACTATACTAGACTTACAGCTACACCATTCAGATTAGACTTAAAGACAAAAAATCTAAAGCAACTATACTAGACTTACAGCTACACCATTCAGATTAGACTTAAAGAAAATCACTATACTAGACTTACAGCTTTAGCCAAAAATCTAAAGCCACTATACTAGACTTACAGCTATGGCCATTAGGCACTGGCCTCTGGATGCTGTGGGCAAAAACTCTGAGTAGTAGGTCATCCTGGGGATGGAAGAGCTAATTTGGTTAATTAGAACTTCTAGAAGCAACACATCAATGGTTAAAGTATTTACTTTCTATATATTTTTTTTATTTACTCTTGGGGGCAGTGCCCATACACCCAAAAAAGAGGCCTAAAAGAAAATCTGTATGCATATTTCCCATCTTACATGGAATAAATCTCTTATAACTGTTAATTACCAGCTCCTTGAACTGTTAATTACTTGCTTATAAAGCTCTTGCTCCTAAAAATGATTAGTTATCGATATGTGTGAGGTCCGAGGATAAGAAAAATTTCATATACAGAGAACATGTTCTTTGTTAAATAAGGTAATTTTTATTCCTCCAAAACCTCGAACTCCAGGTGTTTTGGTTGCAGAGTTTATTCCAGGCATCTCTTCAAAGAAAGTATACACCCCCCCCCCCCCCCCGAACGACATGCAATTTAAATAGAAAACATTTTACTTTTACCACTGTCCGCCCCCCCCCCCCCCCCCCCCCCCCCCGGAAAACGGGGATATCACTAAAAGTAAGTTTTATATTTTAAGTTTAGAAATGTAGGCCTGTTGTTGTTTTTAAAGTAACTTTAAAAAGTTTAACTTACGCTTGAGGCGTCGCTCCTAATCCACATCCAACGATAAATCGTAGACAGACCATCCAAATATAGGACGGCGCCAGGGAACTTAACATTCCAAAGTAGCCAGTGAAAGCAGAAAACAAAAGTAATATCTGGCAAGTCAAAAATAACCAGTGTTTAAAAGCAAAATTGACATCTGGCAAATTGAAAACATAATACACTAACCTAATCCAGTGGCGGAACTAGAAAAAAAGGGCCACCCCGCAAAGAAATTTTTTGGGCCCCAACTATATATATATATATATATATATATATATATATATATATATATATATATATATATATATATATATATATATATATATATATATATATGTGTGTGTGTGTGTGTGTGTGTGTGTGTGCCTTTGTATATAAACAAAATATGAAAATACCAACACAGTACTCATTTCGGGATTGTTCGATTTTTTTTTAAAAATTAAAAATACTAAAAATTTTTTTTTAAAGAAATTAAAACAAGTTACAAGAACACGTCACAATTCTGTGAGTGCTATTTTTTTTTTTTTTGCTCTGTGATCACTCTGTGAGTGCTATTTTTTTTTTTTTTTAATTAATAATGACAATCGTAAACAGCGTAAAATCGAAGATCAGTCTCACTATCCACTCTGTGTGTGTGAGTGCTATTAGTCTGAAAATCTCTGCTTTAAATATATGTTTAATTTTTCCAGCATGTTGGTCGGTCAAAAGAATATGAAGCATGAAAGCTTTGTATGTGTAATGGTTTCCCGCGTTATGTTTATTTTCATGTTTTTTTGTATTTATATTATTAGTTTTAAATACATTTCCTTTTTATGCTTTGTCATTCTTTATTATGAATTTTTAAAAATAATAATTAAGAGATGTAATTGCTTTTTAATTTGTTTAGTGCAATCTATTAAAAGGAGCTTAAGAGCACACATACTTGACTATTTGAAAAAGGGAAATAAGTCATGGAAGTGGTTTGAACGCTTGCCTATCATTCACGCGATTTTCATAAGAATTTTTCCGACAACAGCGTGTGTTTGATTTGTGGAGAAAGAGGACCCGGGATGGTGTCTATAGAATAAAGATAATGAAACCGCAGCTACAGTATTCTTTTTAAAAAACAACCATAAAGTCAAAAATGTATCAAGATTTTTTTTTAACTAAAAAAATAAATTGATTATGGTCGGCTGTGGGCCCCTAAATGGCCCGGGCCCCCCCGCGTTGCGGGGTCTGGCGGTACTGTAGTTCCGCCCCTGACCTAATCACACTAAAACAATCCAAAATTTCATTTTGCTTTTAGAGAACTTCAAGTAGAATATAGTATTACTATTAATAGATTCTATATTTTGTGCTAAATTGCATTTGTTTTCTTTAACATAAGCAGAATGATAAGCTAGACATCCTTTATAACTGGCACAAATAGCTTTCTTTAAAGATCCAAGCCAAATTCGGTTGGCCAAATCGCTTTTCGGCCACCACTTTCACTCATCAAACTCTAAACAATAAATGGTCTAAACAATGTGTTTGGTTACTCAGGGTATGTACCGGCCGTCGTCCGTATTTATCCGACAAATATCCCCAAAAGTTTGATGTGATCCCCATCCCCAGAAAAACAGCCTGCAAAAAAAAAATAATAATAATTTTAAAAAAAAATTAAATAAAAGAGTTTAAAAATGTAGGTTGGGTTCTACTTCATTTTAAATAAATTTAAAATTACCGAGGTCAGCAAAGCTTCCTGTAGTCCACTCAGTTGCCAGGTACACTTCAGCACAGGGGCCAAAATGGACAACAGCATCATTTCCATAGCGTCGGACATCTGAGGCGGGGTGGGAGATTTAAAAAAAAACATATTTGGAATTTTACAACAGATTTCAGTGTTGATTTTATTTTTATTTTGAATGAGGAGTCAATAGTATCTTCATTACGCCCTGAAGTCAACTATAAATATAATCTCGTGTGTGCACAGAGGCCAAAGACAATGTATAGGCACATATTGGTCTTTGGGCTAAAACTTCGAAAACAGTGTTTCTTCCAGACTTTTTTTCTCCGGGGGGGGGGGGGGGGGGCACTTGAAATTTTCGGGGGGGGGGGGGGGTTGGGGGCGGTAGACTTTCTTCGAGGGGGGGGGCGGACACTGTTAAAAGTATATATTTTCTATATAAATTATATAAATTTCATTTCGTTCGGGGGGCGGTAAAAAAAATTTCGGGGGGGGGGGGGCAAGCCCCCCGAAGAGATGCCTGGAAGAAACTCTGTTCGAAAATGGTATATCTTTACTCCCCCCTCCCACTCACCCCCAACCGCGTCATCTCGTTTTCTCTAACAGACACAGCCGCTCCAATATTCTATTGTACAAACAATATTCAACTTTACAACTTCATTATTAATAATTTAAATCCTTTATCTAGAGGTTTAAGTCAGCTTATAGTCACTCAGTTGATATAGCTTATAGTCATTCAGTTGAAATACAATATATCAGTTTATAGTCAGTAAGTTGTTACAAGATATACCATTTAATATAAGATATATCAGTACTCACATAACACAGACCTGCTAGAGCTGAGATTTTCACCTGAAAACGCCCAAAGCCCAAGGCATCAATGGCTGTCTGTACCGAATACATTGGACCTGGGAGAGATTTTATGGAAAAAAGTTGACCAACTTTAAGCTCTATGCACTTAATTTTTTCGTTAAATAAAAACTTTAATATAGTTTGATCGTTTGTGGAGATGTGTGAGAGTGGGATGAGGATGTGACTAGAAAATTTTTTTTTTTAATGCGAAAACATGTCCCTGTGAGGCAAACATAGCATCAGAGGTAAGGGACATAACTTTGAGTAAACTGTAAAGGGACATAACTGGAGCGGAGGTAGGAATTCGTGTTTGAAAAAAATGTATGCAATGCATTTGTTTTAAAATTATAATATAGTTTGTTGACTTTTTATCTCCCTCGAGCTCAGCAGGTCTAAACATGTACTTCCCCTCGACCCACCAGATGGCATGTGTTATTAGGTACCAGCAGAATTTTAATTACCCGTTTGTGTTCGTGACGATTTTAGTAAAGGACTTGTTTCCTCCATCGCCATGGCAACCGCTGGACTGTGTGCTTGTGCAGGGGAGACAAAAGGCATGCCCTGAGTGCTGGTTCACATGGTGGGTAGCTCACCTGTCAAGCAGAGACTGTTAGTACACCTGTCAAAAATACACGGCAGGTAGCACATCTGTCAAAAATACATGGCAGGTAGCACATCTGTCAAAAATACATGGCAGGTAGCACACTTGTCAAACAAAAACAGAAGTAGCACGCCTGTCAAAAATACACGGCGGGTAGCACACCTGTCAAACATAAACAGAAGTAGCACACCTGTCAAACATACATGGCAGGTAGCACGCCCGACATACATACATGTCAGGTAGCACACCTGTCAAACAAAAACAGAAGTAGCACACCTGTCAAAAACTTGCCAGGTGGCACACCTGTAAAACAGAAACACCTGGCGTTCCCGCCCACAAGATTTGATGTGTTCAAAGCAAGCGTGGGTCGATAATAGTACATGTAAAACGCACTATATGTATAATATAACGCTGGTGGTAGTGTGTCAGTCCTTCCTTGTACTCATGTATCAAGACTGAACCCTAACCAAACATAGTATGACAGAAAAACAAAATCAAATCGTCTTTTACAAAAATCATTTAGCATCTGTAAACAATGGGTGGCAACTCGAGTCGATAGGACGCCCCTGAGCCCACTCAGCTTTTATGAGTACCTGAATAGATACGTCGCTGACAAAACATGTATTCATTTACAGAAGTAATAGAAACAGACGAACTCTATATCATCTGCCATAACCAAAAAGATAATTTGACTTAACCTAAATTAGATTCTACTTTTTTTTTTGTGGTACGTACAAATAACTTGTAGCCAAGGTTGAAGTTACATTTGAAAATGTAGTACTTTACTTTTTAAAGACTACTTTCAGTGATGAAGATGTGTGTGTGTTTATCTAACTATTTTAGTTTAATTAATTAGTGACCTACTTCCCCAACCTGCTGTGTCACTGTGATAATTTAACTATGAAATAGTCGTGTCATCGGTGTGTTAAGTCACTCTAACACGATATGCTAAAATTAAAACTCAATAAACAACATCTTGCTAGTTTTATTTCATCATACAGGAATAGTTCACAACATAAATTCGATTACACGTTTTTTTTAAAAATGTAAACAAACGTACCTATTAAATACACCAACACACCCTGAAGAAATATTAATGGTGTGAAATTAATTAGTTATCTAATTGGAACGATGATGTCACTCGACCAGCGGTTCAGATCCATTTTGCCCTGGGTCACTGGACAGTAGAGACAGTAGAGTGGACCACTAAAGGAAAGAGAGAGAGAGGGGTGGAAACATAAAAATAGCCATAATGGAGATCGTTTGAAAGTTAAAATAGGGAGGTTGGAATTTTGTAGCGTGAGTATTTTATAGTTAATACAATTCCAAAAAAAAGCATGTATTGTGTAGCTTGTAACACAATGTGTTTTGACTACAGGTCCCCCCTTAAAGAAATTCACATATCGTGCTCGGTGGCGAGGTTGTTGTAGGTGACTTATATTCGACAAGAAGAGCAAGACTTCGACTGAGACAAAACATCGACGGATATAGCTCTCAACATATGCACAATAATACTTACCTTAGTGTGGTTCACCATATATCATAGGTGCCTAACACACACCTACCTCATTCAATACCTACCCTAATATAGTGACAAAATCACCAACCACCTACCATAGTACTATTGACAAAATCACCACCTAGTGTAGTTGACAAAATCACAGGACGTTACCCTCCCCCCCCCCCCCCGTCAATTATCCCCCGAACATCCCCCTCCCGAAATTACCCCCCCCCCCCCCCGAGCAAATATCCCCCACCACCCAGTTATGGATACGGTAGGGAGGTGTAAGAGTTAGATGTAGGTTTCGAGTAGGGGTTAGTGGTTGGGTTTTAGGGTTAGTGTTAGGGTCAGGGTACATTGGCATGCGGCGGGGAAGGGTAATTGACGGGGGGGTAACGACTGCGAGGGGGGGGGGAGATCTCCGTGGGGAAATATTCGGGGGGGGGGGGGTAATTGACAGGGGTGGGGGTAATGCCGTAGACCCGACAAAATCCCAGGTGCCTACCACTCACCTACCCTTATGTCGTAGACCTCCTGTAACACGAGAACCGTTGACCTACCTATGGGAAAAATTAATTAGGTCAGTTGGCGTCACTGCTAGCCGTCTGGTAGATAAACCGGACAGGTAAAGGTGACGTCATGCACTAGGTTCACGTGACCCTATGTGGGACTGACTGACTAGCAATAGCTACTTAACTGTATCTGGGACTTAGTGGTGTCACTCCCCCCCCCCAAGAAACAAAGTATATATATATATATATATATATATATATATATATATATATATATATATATATATATATATATATATATATATATATATATATATATATATATATATTTATTTATTTATTTATTTATGAAGGAAGGTTGAGCTTCTTTTTTTTGAACAACGTGTACACAGACTAAGCATTGGCAGAATGGTAACCCCACAGCGGTCCCTCCTGTCTTCAAATTTATAAAGAAAATAAACTGCATTAATAACAACTTCATTATATGTTTATGTGTTTAATTCAGGGGTCGGCAACCTGCGGCTCGCGAGCCGCATGCGGCTCTTTTGATATCAAGATGCGGCTCTCCAGCTCCTTGCACAAATACTAATAATCTTAATAAAAAAAAAAAAATATTTGAAATTAAAAAAAATTAGTGGCTCTTTAAAACCAGGGAAATTTTGAAAATTGTAACTTTTGGCTCTTCCGCTTCAAAAGGTTGCCGACCCCTGGTTTAATTAATTGAGGTAATACCAATTGTTATTACTTTTTTTTTATTTCGTCTTGCAAAGCAAGACTCTAGATAATTGGATTTATTGAAAATTAAAACGCCGCGTCATGTATTGAAAAAAAATTATTGAAATAAAAACATTAATCGTAAAAAGTTATGGTTAAGAACTGTATGATTATTGATTATATTTTCTTAAATTAAAAAGAAAATATTTAAAAAAAAATATTTTTAACATAAACCATTGCAAAAAATTAATAAATAAGGCTCTCTAATTTTATTATAATTACATTGAAAATAAGTTTATATTTATATATTTTATTTCTTAAAATATTTTTTTAAATTGAGTTATGTTTCCTGGCAATACCGAAAAATGTACGTAAAATAAACTTAAATGTGCCTAAAAATGTGTTATCAATTAGATCTATACGTTTCAGAAAACAATTACGAGATCAAGAATTACTTCTATGGACTATAAAACAGAGTTTCTTCCAAGCATCTCTTCAGGGAGGGACAACAGAAGCCGTGGTGACGATAATGACAACATAATCCGTGGTGACAATAATGACAACAGAAGGCTTGGTGACAAAATGACAACAGAAGCCGTGGTGACAATAACAGAAGCCGTGGTGACAATAATGACAACAGAAGCCGTGGTGACAATAATGACAACAGAAGCCGTGGTGACAATATCAGAAGCCGTGGTGACAATAACAGAAGCCGTGGTGACAATAACAGAAGCCGTGGTGACAATAACAGAAGCCGTGGTGACAACAATGACAACAGAAGCCGTGGTGACAATAATGACAACAGAAGCCGTGGTGACAATAATGACAACAGAAGCCGTGGTGACAATAATGACAACAGATTTGACAGCGACGGAGCTGCACTAAGAACAGGACATTAAACATGGGGGGGGGGGGGTGCTAGGGAAAAACACATTACAAACATTAGACAGCATAATAAATAACCAATGCATCGACAATTTACTTATATAGGAAACTTACATTAGAACTACAGAGAGAGAACGCGACTGACACACACAATCCTTCATCTGAAAGAAGGATCGGATGCTGTTTTTACTACAACGGAAAATGTGTTTATAAGGAGATATTTGTTTCGTAAATAAAAATTAGTAATCAAATTTTTCAGATTTAAGCATTTCTGGGTGGGTTTTTTTCTTCGTTGTTTTAATGCCATTAGTTTTTACTGATAGCTTCTTAACAGTGGCGTGCAGAGCTATGTTGCTGCCCGGGGCAAAACCAAAGGAAGATGCCCCCCATAAATTATATATATATATATATATATATATATATATATATATATATATATATATATATATATATATATATATAAATTACGGTGTTTAAAGCGTTAGTAGCCCTACTATTGACGATAAATTATAACACACATTATGTTATTAATCAGAATACGAATAGAAAATCATTTTAAAAAATTGACTTAGCTGAACTCTTGAGAAGACTCCATGCATATATATCCAAAAGAATGACTGACTCATTCGGGGAGGGAGAAAACAGTATGGGGACATGCCGGATGTTGGGGGGGGGGGGGAGGGGCTATATGCCAAGCCCAACAAAAGAATTTACAGTTTCCATTACCCTACCGGGGTCGGGCTGCGGTCACCGTTGAATTAAATTGGAAAAAAACTAAAAGGTCAAAGTTCGCCATTGTTTATTGCTACGACTGAGGCCACGGTTGATGTTAGGCCTAGTAAGTTACCCCCCCCCCCCCCCCCTCCCCATCTCGAACTTGAACAATGCTGTATTTTATAGAAACACATTGGTGGCACACCTCGTGTGCAGGGAAGAGAACCACGGTCGCCGGGTGATTGTTTGGTGGCTGGCGATGGGTTGATTGAGTGAGCCCTTCCCCCTCCCCCTCCACCCCCTTGTACCTGGTATGTAAATTTGGGATACCCTATTGTATTCTGACCAATGTAGGTGTATTTTTTTTGGATGCCTGTACTAGTTACGGACATAAAATAGTCTTGTCTCGTACGTCGAAGTAGTCGGATACGTAGGAATAAAGCGTCTCGTCTTAACTCGATACATTGAGAAAATATCGATTCTAGTCATAGAGCACAGCGATTTCTGCTTGTGCGCATTGTCGATGTTTGATAGAATTTTAGTATCGCTAAACTTGGGGCCCGCACTTAATGGTCGGCTCTAGGCCCCAAGTATTCATATGCAAACCCTGTGTGGGAATTAATCCAGTAACGGCTACCAGGGTCGTTATAACTCCCACAATTCATTAAATCAACGTGGACTCACTTACTTTACAGGTGGCTCTACTATTTATAACATCAGTTCTATTTAAGCGCCCATTTACTTTACAGATAACTTTACTTTGCATTAAAATACTTTAACACAACTTTTACTATGCCCTACAATTGATAAAAAATAAAATGGGCACAATTGTTTGAAATGATATCACTACAATGTATATTAAAAATCTGTTGATGCTTATTCTTGAGGGTGTCCTTACAGTGTATTCTTTATTATATTCATATGCATCAAAACCGAATAAATTCTCTTGGGTGCCCCTACAAGTTATCTAAAAATAATACGGGCTTACTTCATCTGCAAATGCCCTTTTAATCACAAGCAAAAATAAAATAAATTATTCGAAAATCGCTCTAATGCAATAAAGTGTTTTAAATTGTTCGTTCAATGGCCAGTGGTTAGAATAAAAGTCATGCGTTTAGATATATTATATAAAGAGACAGTGTTAGTAAGCACACAATTTTAGACAAATTACAATATCAACAAGCATTAGTGGTTAAAATTAAAACAAATAGGAAACCATTGACAGATTTGGACACTTTATATAATTAGTTCGAATTGTGGGAAAAACACCGTTTTCGGCTATAGAATCCAAGAGAAATGTCTCTCAAATGTAATAAGAACGCTCAGTAGTGTGGGGTTTAGGGGTGGGTGACAGTAGATGCTTTGGCTTTGGGGTGGGTGAAAGTTGGGGGGGGGGAGGTGAAAGATCACGCAGACTGTGCATTTAAATATATGGCTATGGGATGGAACATCCCAAAAAAAGTCTCCAGATTCGAGTACTAC